CTCCTCCCCCTCCTCCTCCTCCAACTTCCTCATCCCTCCTCCTCCTCCTTATCCTCCCCGTCCTCCTTGGTCTCCCCCCTTCATCCCCTCAAGCCCTCTTCCCCGTCCTGAGGCCCCAAGTCTTCGTCCCTGGTCCCTCCCCCTCCCCCCCTGGCCCTCGCCCTCCCGTTCCCTCACTATCCCGCGCCCCGCCCCCGCAGCGCACGCGGTGGCGCAGCGCGTCGGGTCGGGCGAGGTCGTCGTGGAGGACCGGCGCGCGCTTCGCCCCGCTGCGCGGCGGCCCGGCCGCCCCCCCCCGGGGGCGCTGGTGTCGGCGGGCGCCGCCGTCCGTGCCGGCCGTGTCGGAGCTAAGATTCGTGGGCTGACGCCGCACCAGGCAGGAAGTGTGAAAAGCGGAGTTTGCGGAACGCGCGCGATTTTTGGGGGATCTTGGGGCTTCGGCTTCTTGGGATTTCGTCGGGGGCGGTTGGCGGATCGCGGCTCTGCTCTAGGGCTTTCTGGGCTCTCCAGGCAGCTTTTTTGAGGCCTCTTGGGAGCCATGTTGATGCCCCTAGGGGCCTCTTTTGGGCCTCTCGGGGGCCTCGTGGGAACCTCTTGGGGGCCTCTTGGCGCCTCCTCAGGTTTTTTCGGGGCCGAGTGCTCGAAATGTCCATTCCGGTTCCCCCTCTGGGCCTCCTGGGCCGTCCTGGGGCCTCCTGGGCCGTTTTGGAAGCTTCTGGGGCCTTCTTGGGGCCCCCTTGGGCCGTCTTGACGCCGGCCTTGGGGGCCTCTTGGGCTATCTTGGGTCGGTCTTGAAGGCTTCTTGGGCCGTTGTGGGCCTCGTGAAAGCACAAGAGGCGAATGTGCTAAACATATACGTTTTCCCTAGGGTATGAAACGATTTTGCTTCTGGAGGGCCTCTTGGGACGCCTCTTGGTGGCTTCTTGGAGCGTCCTGGGGGCCTCTGGGACCGTCTGGAGGCAATCCTGGGCGTCTTGGAGCGATCTTTCGGCAACTCGTGGCCCTCTTGGACCCTTCGGGGGGCCTTTTGGGGCCCTCTTGGCCCATTTTGGGGCTCCCCGAGGCTCCAAGGGTGCGGCCGCCACCTTTGTCCCCCCCCCACAAACCAGCCGGACGGGGCTCCCGGGGGAGGGGTCTGGGGAGGGGGAAGCATCTCACACGCCGTGACCCCAAGGGGTCGGCGGATTGTGGTGGTGGTGGTAGTTTGATTGGAGGGAGGGAGAGGGAGGGAGGAGGGAGGGGGGGAGGGAGGAGAGGAGGGAGGGAGGGAGGGAGGTAGTGAGGGGGAGTAGGAGTAGATTGAAAAACAATAGTAAGATGGGAGGTCCGTTGCCATTTTGGCTCAAGTGGAAACATGTCCCTTTTTGAGCGGGCAGCTCTCTTTCGAGCGATCCAGCGTGTCGTGCGCTGGCGGCACTTGTCTCAATTTCTTGCTTCTCGCCTCTCGTGCCCTTGCGTGCTGGAATCTGTGGATTCGTGATTACAGTCACCGTGTGTGTTAGCGCAGCATGGCAAGTAATGCTCGAGGTAAAAGAAGCGCAGGTGCTCGTGCCCCTCCTGCTCATGAGCGCCCTCGGTCTCGTATTCGTGATTCCGCACCTGCGGAAGATTTTCATGATCTTGAAGAAACTCCTACTTCTGTGGGCCGTGGCGGCGGCAGTGGTGGTACCGACAACGGACCCCAGCACGACGACCTCCGCTCCTTCGTCGACTCGACTCGCAGTGAGGTCATGGCTGCCATCGCTTCGATTCAATCCAGTGTTGCTTCCCTCTCTCGCACCTTTGCGGATCGCGCCCAAGGAGTGGATCGCCAAGTCGAGACCCGTATGCGCAAGGTTGAGACCCAGCTTGGTTCCCATGATGGCAGGATTTCGAGGCTCGAAGAACATATTGCTTTCTTGCAGAAGGAGCTCCACATCGTTCAAGACGGGCCCCCGCCAGTGAAGGTCCCCACCCCGAACTCCTTCGACAGGCCTGCAGACCCTACCATCATTGTGGTCAGATCCAAGGACCTTGTTACTCACAGGCTCGTACGTGAAGCCATCGCGCCGTGGCTCATGGAAACCAACCTGGACGTGGACGACTACCAGCTCAACGAACCCAGCGAAGGCCCTGCTTCAACATGTTTTACCACTTAGTTCACTGGTCAGGCTCATTTCGCTTCTCGTGCTGTACATCAAGCCATCGGCTCTCTTCGCTCCCGCGATGGTTCCGGGAAGAAATTTACCGCTCAGCTTCCGACTGGTGGGCGGACCGACCTCTACGTATCTGTAGACTAGAGCCAATGCACTATTCGCCGAGAACTCGGCACGAATATCATCCGCCGTGAGTTCGAGATTACCCCGACAAGCGTTTCTACGTTGACAAGGATCGCGGCGAGGTCTCCCTCGCTTGGAAGAAGCTCATTCGGTGCCCTCCTGCACCTGCTGGCTCCTTGCCGACCGTGGAGTGGAACATCCCGAACTTGCTCTCCCTCGGCCTGGACAAGCGCGTGCTCGAGGCCCGCATCTCTGCTGCTCTCGCTCCGCCTGCTGGAGATGGAGGTCAATGGTCTCTTTAACGGCTTCATGAGGCCGTGGCTGGGTTCTGGCCCCTCCTCATCCTCGCTTCGCTTCGCCAGCTGGAACGCTAACTCTCATATTTCTAAATTTTGTTTTGCGCTCCCAGAAAATCGCCTACCTCTCCTCGTCGATGTCCCCGTCGTCCATCATCGCGACTCAGGAGTCCCACGACTCGGAGGAGGAGGCTAGGGACATGATTCATGTCCTGCACAAGCCGTGCCAGTGTCTCGCCAGCTTCTTGCCGCGCGCTGCGGGTGGGGTGGTCACTCTTGTTCCTTTTCCTCGGTGCTCTGAGATCTCGGTGGACATTGATTGTGGGGATCTGGTTCCTGGGCGGGTTCTCTTTGCAGACCTTCAGATTGATTCTGGGAAGTCTGGGATCGCGCACTACAGTGTCCACAATGACGGGCTCTTGCGGGGAGACAAACAACGTGTATCTCTGCATAGATTGGGCAGGCTCCGTGAGGCTCAACAAGACCCCCTCAACGAGATTGTGATCCTCGTAGGTGACTTCAACATCTCTGCTTCCCCTCCTGCCCCCGTTGACCCCGCCCCCCAGATTTTGCCGGGGGAAGGTTATCCGACCTGGAGGGCCTCTCAGGATGCCATTCGGAGAGGCCTCTTTGGGCGTCTACTCGAGATCCAGATGCCAGATTCTACCCGCATCTACGCGCCGAGTGACGCGATGGGCACCTTGATGGGCTCTTCACTTCTCTGCCGAGTTGGGCGGTTAGGCAGTTCAATATTCGTGGTGTCGCCCGAGGTCTCGTATGGGCGGTGAAACGTCGCAAGCTTTCGGGCCGCGCTGCCATTGCCATCGACTTCCATCCGGCTTCCCCCCAATCATAAAAAGGACAGGCCCATCAATCGAGACCTGTTTGACACCCCTGAGTATAAAAGGTTCGTTCGAGCCTGTCTCGACGGGACGGGCCTCGAGATTTACCCGCCGCCTGCTCGCCTAGCCTGGCTTGAGATGCTGATGAAGGAGGGTGCGAGGTCTGCTCGGAGCGCTTCCCTGGGGGCTGCTTCGGACTTCTTGGTCGTTCGCTTGCTCGAGCTGTTTGGAAGTGAGATTTGATTCTGGGGCGTCGCCATTATGAGAGCTATCCTCTCGCACGACAGCATCTCGTCTGGAACGCGGAGATGGCGACGCTTGCCTTTGACGATCCTGGGGCCTTTGCGGACCTGATCAACTGCATGGGAGAAGCCGACCGCATGGAGAAAATGAAAGCTCCGGGGACAAATCTCTCGGCCAAACCTGAAGGTTCTGAGCGAGAGAGTCTCCGTCAACGTCTCCGCAGACTCCGCGGTAGGGCCGAGTTTTGGGCGCCGCTTGATCGCCGCGTGCACGTCCGTGGTATCCGCCGTGATGACCAACTACAGTCGGGCCCCTTGGACATGGCCAGCGCCATCGGTCAGCACTGGGGCGCTGTTTTTGCGGAGAAAAACACCGTTGGACCTCGCCCGAACTTACGTTCAGAAGTTCACATCGCATCTAGACCTGAGTGATGCCCCTCCGCCTTCTCGCGTGCTTCTATGCTCAGTGCTTCGGCGTCAGTCCCATTCCCATCGTGCTCCCGGTCCTGATTGCATCCCTTATGCGGCCTGGCAGCGGACTCCGCAGGCTACCACTGGTGTTCTGGCTTCTTGGTGGAGGATGGGCCTTCTGGGGCCTCAGCCATCTTGGGCGTCTATATCCCGAAGGGAGAATGCGATGAACTTCGACCGTTGGGCATAGGAAACATTGGTGACATGGTCATCACTGCCACTATTGTGTTTGCTCTTGCCAGGGCCTGGGCCGAAATAACGAACCGACTGCAACGAGGTTTCATCAGTGGCAAACACTATGGGACTATCATCGTCGAACTAGATGCGATGGCAAGGTGTTGCTCTATGAGTCCCTCAGCGGAGGTGGACTTACCACTAGTTGCGGTTTTCGGCTTCGCCCGGGCGTTCCCGTCGGTGTCGCGCCGCTGGCTGCATCTCGTTCTTGCCGCGCTCGCCCTGCCCACCCCGTTGCTTGACTGCGTCGAGTTTCTGTGCCGCGGAGTTTCATGTTTCTCGGAGTTCGGCGGCGAAATGCTTCTTATGTCTCCTATTCTGGCTTGCATTATCCAGGGAAGCCCTGCTTCAGGGATTTTGTTTGCGATATGTGTTAAACTTGCGGCAGATTTCGGTTCTACCATTGAATTACAGCATCGAGGGGTGGTTCGTCTCTGCGCCGACGATATCGGCACCGCTTTGATCAAGCTGCAGTGCATGCAGCAGCTCTCTCGCATCTTCCGTCTCGCCGCCAAGCTTGCTGCTCTGCTCTTGCATGCGACGAAATGCCGGATCCTCCCTCTTGCGGGTCCTGGAACGGAGGCTCCCAGGACGCTGTGCAGAGGTAAGTTCAAACATCTGGTTCCCTCCTGGGCCGATTTCCAAATCGTGAACATTATCAAGTACCTGGGAATGCACCTCGGTCCCGATGCAGGGCAACAGTGGTGGGTAGGCCCGTTTCGTGAGTGGCGGCGTAGGCCCCTCGAGCTCGCAAAGGTTGGTGCCTCGAACGCTGTCCCCGCCAACCTGTGCTCGTCCCGCGTCTCCTCAGTCATGAGCTATGTGGCTCAGTGCTTGCCGGCGCCCGCAGACCTGCTGCGCCTCGGGTCGGCGATGCTTTCAAGGGTCTTTCACCTGCCGTATTGTAGATTGAGCCAGGGAGGTTCGTACGCATGGAAGGAATGGGGAGGACCTCGCATCTCTTCGTTGCCCGCCACTTGTCTCGCAGCCCGCTCCCGTGCCGCTATGAGTGCCTTTTCGTGGTGAGGGTCCCCCGTCACTCTGCGCAATGTTGCTGGGCGACGCCGCCCATGCGCGTCGGTACTTCGTGGGGGCCTCTCGCCAGACTTTTGGCAGACTCGCGCCCTGTGCCAGCGCGTGCCTGGCGTCTCCTAGGGACTTCATCTGCCCGAGAGGTTGCGAGATCAATGCCTTCCTGCTCTCCTCGATGCCCGGGCGGAACACCAGCGATATTCAGTGAACCCGATGAGAATCCCGCGCCCGAAAATTCAGAGGTCTCTAGTTCACAGCATCTTAGAGGCTATGTGTCCCGCGTCTCTTGGGGATATTTTTTTCCGCCCGTCTCTGCGAGTTGCTTCCCACCGAAAGGGCTCGCATCCTTGCCGTTGGCTGGCCTCTGGTCCGCACTACTCTTGCCTCCGTGCCTGTCGCTCTCTCGTCTGCCACCGCTATGGCGCCTTCGAAAAACTGGCTGACGCAGCGTAGGTTTCAACAAACTGAAAATTCGTTCTGTCTCTGTGGGTGCCCGCCCGAGGAAGGGGGAGAAGATTCGCTCGCCCATTATTGGGCCTGCCCGTTGTTTTTCCAGCTTTTGGTGTCCGCCGTGGGATCTCCCGACCCTCGTCCTCTGGAGCGATGCGGAATTTGTCACCTATAGAGGCCTCTCTTAGAGTTTCAGCTTGTGCTTACATGTTGTACAACGAACTTCGCAGTCAATCGCGTCGACTAGGGAGTCGACCGCTGTCAGAGCAGAAGTCCCACGGTGTGTTCCCTGCTGTCCGTTCTCAGCTCAGGCGATAAGGATGAACTTGTTGCGCAGCCTGCGCCGCAGGAGAAGGAGGAGGAGGAAGAGGAGGAGGAGGAGGAGGAGGGAGGAGGAGGAGGGAGGAGGAGGTTGGAGGTTGGATGGGGACTTGGACGAGGGAGGGGACGGAAAGAAGAGGATGAGGAGGAATAGTAATAGGGAGGAGGAGGAGGAGGTGGAGGAGGAGGATGAGGATGATGATGAGGATGAGGATGATGAGGATGCTGCTGCTGCTGATACTGATATTGATGACGATGATGCTGATGCTGCTGCTGATGATGATGGTGATGATGATGATTGTGGCGATGATGATGATGATGATGATGATGATGATGATGATGATGATGATGATGATGATGATGATGATGATGATGATGATGATGATGATGATGATGATGATGTTGATGATGATGACGCTGTTTATGATGATGATGACGATGATGCTGTTGCTGCTGATGATGATGATGATGATGATGATGATGATGATGTGATGGTGCGTTGCTGCTGATGATGATGATGGTGATGGTGGTGGTGGTGGTGGTGATGATTGTGATGATGATGATGCTGATGATGGTGGTGGTGGTGGTGATGATGCTGATGATGATGATGATGATGATGATGATGATGATGATGATGATGAATGATGATGTGATGCTGATGCTAATGATGCTGATGATGATGGGGAGGAGGAGGAGGAGGAAACACACGAGGGTAGGAGGAGGAAGGACGGGGGAGGATGGACAAGGAGGATGAGGATGGAGGATTGGAGAGACTGAGACAAGGAGGGGAGGAGGAGGAGGAGGGAGGAGAGAGGAGGAGAGAGGAGGAGAGAGGAGGGGAGGAGGATGGAGGAGGAGGAGGAGGAGGAGGAGGAGGAGGATGAGAGGAGGAGGAAGAGGAGGATGAGGGGGAGGAGGAGGAGGAGGAGGAGGAGGAGGAGGAGGAGGAGGAGGAGGAGGAGGAGGAGGCGGAGGAGGAGAGAAGGAAGGCGGACGTACTGAACTAAATGCTGAGCGATAGGGAAGTCGCTGCCTACACGGCTAGGTGGAGGAGCTAGAGGGGGAATTGGGCGGGGGCGGCGGCGGTTCTGGAAGCCACAGCCGTAGTCGACGTTGTGCCGCGCGCGCGGTCGCGCGCGAGCTCGCGCTGTGCCGCGCGGAACGCCGCCCTCCTTCTTCCTCCCGACGGCGCTGATCCCCCCCCAACCTCCAATCTCTCCCTCGCCTGCCTTGAATGTGCGCTCTCACCTCCATACCCCCCGTCCCCACGAGGCTCAGAGGAGGAAGTGGTCGAGGAGAGAGAGAGGAGAGATAGAGTGAGAGAGAGAGGGGAGGTCGCCAGAGCTCAGGATCC